CCAGCTGGTTCTGCAGCTGATGACCAGCACCAAGGGCATGGGAGGGGCCACCTTGGGGGCGCAGAGCAAATCCCACAGGAGACCTCAAGCAAAAGGATGCTTGGCTGGGCCCAGTCAACTCACTGAATGGTAAGAAGTAATTCATTTTCATTTGAAGCCACAAAAGAAAACAGGAGCTCTGGTGGCTTAGTGGTAAGGAACTGCACAGCCTACATACACAAAGGTAGGAAGATAGAAAGTGATGCTACTAAGCCAAGGGTGGATGATTTTAATCTGCATCCCTCAGGCCTGGTCAAACATTCTTTTAAGTGGTACAGCACTGGTCTGTGCATTGCTGTACAGAGGTAACTCGTGGTTGCTGTGATGCTGAACACTATGACATTGATGTGTCAAATCTGAGAATGGTTACCCACGGTGGACAGTGTTTGGTGGACCTCCCCGATTAAAACAAGCTTGGAAGCAGGAGTGGCATCCACTTCCGAAATAGCTTACCTCTGGAAACCCTACAAATGTGGAGAAACGATGAAAGTTATACAAGTGTTCAAGTCTTTCGTTCATAGGGTTGCTATGAGTCATCTATGACTCAACGGCACTTACAACACAAAGGCATGTGGCTCGAATCCACCAACTGCCCCACGAGAGGATGGGAAATCTCCTCCTGGGTGATTCACTGCCTCTGGACATACACAGGAGGGACAGCTATGGATCAGTTCTGATTCAATGGTAAACAACAACAAGAACTCACAAGCACCCCAAGGGACTGTATCTAGTTTATAGTTGAGTTCACTGAGACCTAGAGAGGAAAAGCAATTTGGCCAAGGTACACAGCTGGCAATGGGTCAGAGTTGGGACCTGAACCCTAGTTGTCTGATCCAGAGGGATGGCCAACACCCCTTTGTTCCCTCCACGCTGCCCACGGCCCCCAGCAGTGAGTGTCAGGGTGGGATTTAAACTACGTCCACTTCACTCTTAGCTAAAGCTCGTCAGTGTCTGTGAGCATATCCCCCGCATATCCCCCTCAGAGGCTGTTCATCAGTATCAGGCCAGCCCCTCAGAGCCCCAAACCCCGAGCCCAGAGCCTGGTCTCCTTCCCTGCTGGCCGAGGCCAGGCTGCCACTGATTCTCCTCAGATCTCTCCCCTTGGTGGTGCCTGGGTGGGGCTGGGAGGCCGTGGGGCCAGGATTTTGACAAATGGCCTCACACATACTAAGTAAGAGTGATGACACTGGGAGGCCTGGTGAGGCCCCCAATGCGAGAGATGAAAAATGGGGCTGATCCATCTCGCTGGCCTTGGTGACAAGGAGAAATGGATCAGCCCTAATAGGGGCTGCTCGCTGGGCCCCAGCCTTAAACAAGCCAAATAGGAAATAGGCGCCTTGAGAGCCCAGCCCACAGGAGCAGGGGGCAGGAGGCCTGTGTTTCCAGGACAGAAAGGCCTCACTGGCTGACATCACCCTTGAGCCAGGATGGGAGGTGAGGGGCTTCTGGAAAGAGCTGCCTGGCAGGGAAGGGCTCAGAAGCCAGCCACTTAGGGATGTGCCACCTTCAGCAAGTGACCCACCCACCCTTTCAGAGCCTCAGTTTCCACATATGCAAAAGGAGGCTGGTGACATGTTAAAATGAATGTCAGTACAGAATCCAGTGGCCCTACAGGTCACCCCAGCTCAGGGCCCCACATGGCTTCCCATGCTGTAATCCTTCCAGAAACACACTACTGTCACGCTCTCCTGCAGGGTGCCTGGTCGGCTCCAACCACTAACCTTTCTACCAGCAACCAAGTGCTCAATCACTGCACCACCAGGCTCTTCTCTGGGAAGAGCTGATGTTACCTTAACCCTCAGGATGTGCCAAGAAGTCCTGTATTGAGCACTTCGATGGGTTAATTTTAGCCAGATTATCTCAGAGAGGCACAAAATAGGGGCTGAGCGTGAGTTTCAGAGTCAGAGGATCTGGGGTCAAATCCACGCTGGGGGGCTGTGGGTGGGTTACAACTGGTGTATGGCCTCAGTTTCTCTTTCAATGAAATGAAGACAAAAGTACCATATCACAGCTCTATTGTGATTAATGACACAGTGATTAAGAATTATTATTATATAGTGTATAATCATATTGTTATACGGTGATTAATAATCAGTGCTTAGTGAGTGTTAAGATTATTATCCACATGATGGCTGTTGCTACCCGCTGTTGAGCTGACTTCCATGCATAGAGATTCAATGAACAACAGATCTGAACTGTGCTGAGCTAAAGTTAGTCCTCCTTCTTGGTCTTTCTCCAGTTCAAGGGGAAGACTTCTAAGGTCAAAGCCTCAGAAAGAAATGACTCTGGAGGGAAAGGATGCATGAAGGGGTGTCAGAGCTTCAGCTTGTTTCCCTGGGTTTGCTACACTTACTAGGGTCAGGGTCAAGGCCTCTTAAAAGACACAGGCCTCGGGTTTTAAAGGGGCAAAGTCAGAGGGTAACAACATATGGAAGGTAACTACCAGGAGTCTCCACTGGGCTAAAACAGAGTCTTTTTCCAATCACAGGCCTCCCTGCTCACTTTGTCCCTCCCTCCCACCTCCAAGGTGTTGACCCTCACTTTCCGCCATGGCAAGGGTGCACAGCTATTGTGTCTCTTCCTCTCCTGGGTTCCCTAAGAACTTCTCTGAGGCCCGCTCCTCAGAAGCTGGGTCACAGTGCGCTCTCTGTACTCCTACAGCACTCCTTGGGGGGACCCCTCCACACAGCATGGTGCAAAGAACAGCTGTTCAGTGTCTCGTCCCTGTGACAACATGCTCCAGGAGCCAGAGCCACATGTGTCCTAACATCTGCTGTGTCTTCAGCCCCAGAGGTCAGTCTGTGGTAAATATCTGTCTCACGAAGGGGTAAAGGGTCCCAGGTACGAGTCCTGGAACCTGGAGGTCCTGAGCACTGGACAGCTGTGGGCCTGCATTTTCACTATGTACGCTCTCTTCTGGTAAGAGCCCACCTCACCCCCAACATAATTTTCCACTGACTCTACCTCTTCTTCCTTCTTGGTCCAAGGATTTGAGAATGGATGATCTGACTGCCTGGACTCAGGGAAGGGAAAGCAACTCAGGACGGATCAATCAGAACATTCCAGTCCCTCTGCTGTTCTAAGCCATTTGTTCAGAGGTATTCTCATGACTTAAACTACACCAGTGAAAGTCTTTTAGTTGGGAATACTGGAAAGAGAGCCCCTATGTCTGCTTGAATAACTGTATTTGTAAGATTCAGTGGTGACCATGTGTGGAAAATCTGCCCAAGAAAGAAGACAACACAAAAGGAAAGAGAAAGAAAAGAGAGAGAGACTCTCTGAGCTCCTGATAATATTATATAACCACCTAGATCCAGCTGTGCGTGAAGCTGGACAGTAACTCGCTCAGCATCCAAATTGCCCATCTGAAAGGAGGTTTTTTTGCCTATTCCTAGCTCTGGTGATGGGAATCACGGGCATGAACCAATAAGGTCATGACCCACCTTAGCCACGTGGATTAATTCAGGAGTCAGAACAGGACTGAAGTCAGAGACAAGTTTGGTATGTCAGTCAGAACTTAGAAAAAAGAGAGGCTTTTTCTCCCAGTACATGTGAAGGAGGCAGTACTATATATTATTCATCTTTAACCCGAGGGATGGCAGTTCGAACCCACTCACCTGCTCTATCAGAATAAATAAAGATCTGTAATGATCACAGTTTTCGCCTCACATCCTCAGGGCATGTTTCTAGAAGGGACTACTCCTTAGGCAGGGACATGACGCTTGGAAGGGCGGGGGGTCGGTAAAGAAGAAGACACTCAGCCAGGTGGACTGACACAGCGACTGTCTCAAGGGGCTCTAGTGTGTCAGGAAGTGTGAGGATGGCACAGGACAGGACAGGGTTTAGATGTGTCGTTCATAGGGTCGCTATGGGTCATACTCAATTCAACAGCCCCTAACAACAACAACACAAAGATCACAATCCTGTAAGTCACTCCACTGTAGAGCATGGGAGGTTCCCTGTGTTTTGCATCGGGCTCAGTGGGAATGAGTGCGGGTCTCGGCATGCGGGGAGGAGGAGCAGAGAGCTCTCTCACTATCATGAGATGCTCAGCTCAGGGACAAGTCAATGCATGGAGGGGACAGGGTGTGGACGATCACAGAGGCAGAGAACAACCCTGGGGTCCACAGTGCAGCTTTCATTTACACACCCCAACATCGTTCCTTCCAGACCACGCTAAGGGTGGATTTTGCTGTTAAAGCTTCTGGTTGTGTTACATACTAGCGGACACACCTGAACTAATTCCATGAACTAATCAGCACCCCTTCAAGGCGTAGTCATGAAACACTTAGGCCTGCTGGGATGCAATCACTTGCCTGGCGAGAATCCTGACCAAGCCACACAGGCTTTTCTTCTGCACATTATGCTCTCAAGTGCTCCCCGATGCTGCTCAGGGCCCCTCACTGGTATCTGCTACCCCAGATGACCCAGAACCTCCATGAACCCTTGTCCGATACCAAGTCTCAGGAGGCCTCTATGACTGGGGCCAGCAAACAATACTGGGGAAGGCCCAGGTAGTGAGCATTTTCAACTTGGTGGGCCGTCTCTGTTCTCTCACCACTGTTCAACTCCACCTTCAAAGCAGGAAGGCAGCTGTAGACAACTTGTGCAAGAGTAAGCATAACCATGCCAATAAAACTGTATTGATGGCCACCTCAACTTGAGTTCCACATCAGTTCCATGTGTCACAAGAGTCTGCCTTTTGATATTCTCCCCCCTCCCCCAATGCGAAAATCTTTCTTAGCTTTCTTGATAACAAACCCAGTCAAGAACCAGATTTGGCCTGTGGGTCATAGTTTGTGTTAACTCAAGGTTTAGTTAGGACCTCAAGGCACTGTTGCATACGGACCACCCCCATCCATGCTCTGAACCAGCGCTCCCTCTGCTGTCACCCACCCAAGCTGTGCTGCTGACGACCAGCATGCCTTAGGGCTCTTGCCATGACAGTCAAAGCAACTTACCAGAAGGACCACCCATAGTCCCAGGAATGGGGTCTCCAGTCTTCAGGGCCGAGGCTCACGGTGACCTGAAACACCTGTGTGTACATCATGTGAGCAACCATTCCCAGGAGGCCTGTGGGAAGAGGACAGAGCATGTTAGGGAGGTGGGGTGGGACTCTGTCCTTCTCCACGGGCCTCTCAGGCCTGACTTCTATAGGGGAAGTCAGCAAGGCCAGAGCAGGGGTAGGCAGAGAACGCCAAGGAGTTTGAGGCAAAGAGGAGCTCTGGGGAGAAAAAAAAAGTAAATAAGGGCAAAACAGAAGTACTCGTTGGGGTTTCTAAGGCTATAAATCGTCAGGGAACCAGACTGTTTCCAGAGTGGCTGGTGGTTTCAAACCCTCGATCTTTTGGCTTAGCTCTCCACTAGTAATTTTTCAGCTCGGAATCCACAGCATCACTGTTGGTTGTTGATGTTAGGTACCATCGAGTCAACTGCTCCTCATAGTGACCCGTGAACAGCAGGTCTGAACCTCGCCCTATCCCACACCATCCTCCCCATCTGATATACTCAAGCCCACTGTTACGGTCACTGCGGCAGCCCATCCGGCTGAGGGTCATATTCCCTTTTCTGATCCTCCCTCCACCTTTCCCCAAGTCCTAGCACGACATCTAGGGCCCTTTTAAAGGGCCATGAATATTTACTAAAATATGTTCAAGTTTAGGGGAAGCTCTGGTGGCCTGTTGGTAAGGACTTGTGTGTGGCCAACACAAAGATGTACGGTTCGAATGCACCAGCTGCTCTGCGGGGTATAGATGGCCATCCTCCTCCTGTGCAGTTTCCTGTCTCTGAAAACCCACTGGAGGGTCAGCTATGAGTCTGTTGTGATGTGACAGTACACAACAATAGCAGGTATATATACATCAAGGGACTTAAAAGCAGTGACACCAACTGAGGGTAACACCAGTAGGGACATCAGCATCCTCTGTAATACAATAGTCAAACAATAGGAACAGTCTTGAGATCATTAATGAATGGATGGATAAATAAAATGTGGCAACGCAATGGAGTACAACTCAGCCACAAAGGGATGTGGAGTCCATGCACACCACAGCACGAACCGTGGAAACACAGGGCTACTGAAAGAAATCAATCACGGAAGGATCTCATTCACTTAAGATTACAGGAACAAGCAAATGTACGGAGACCCAAACGTCTTAGCCTTACCAGGGCCTGGAGGAAGGGTCAGAGGGGAAAGCCCCTGCTGGGACAGTAACAGTGCACTTCTGTTTGTGATGATGGGAACTCCTGTGTGGATTTAGGGTCATAATTGTACCACATTGACTGGTATAGTTGAAATCCCTAAGCTCTGTATCTAGTAAGTGCAAACGCTGGCAAACGCTGTGTTAGATATTTGTTTTGTTGTTGTGTACTGCAGAGCTGGAACCGACCTATAGCTGACCCTCCGGTGGGTTTCAGAGACGGTTAATCACACAGGAGACTGTCCATCCTTCTCCCGCAGAGCGGCTGGTGGCCTCAAACTGCCTTCAGGGTATGTTTACAACAACAAAAGGCAGCTGCTGATACTACTTCTTCTTCTTGTTGTTGTTAGGTGCCATCGAGTCAGCCACAACTCCTAGTGACCCTATGAACATCAGACCGGAACCTGCCCTCTCCTGCACCATCCTCGGGTTCTCTGATACGTTTGAGGTCACTGAGGCAGTAACTGTGTCAATCCATCTCGACGAGGTTCTTCCGTTCTTCTTATATATTGTTTACATATATCTCCTAGGAAATGTCTTGGTTTCACTGGATGTTCGAATCAACTGGCCTACTCGAATGTTTACTGGTTCTTTTCATTGTCTAGGGAGCCTGAAGTCTTAAGAGCTTGCAAGCAGCCATTCCAGGTATGACAGTTGGTCATTATTCACCTGGAGAAGCAGAGGAAGAAGGAGATTCAGGCACCAGAGGAGGAAATGTGATGTGTGCCTCATTGCTTCCATAAAAAACTTCTTCCTTTGCCATTAGACCAGAACCAGATGGTGCCTGGCTCCCATTATTCAACATTTTGGCAGGCAAGTATTCTACCACTGAACCAACCACCCATGCAATTATTCAACATTTTGATTAAAAAAAAAGCTATAGAAAAGTAATGATCAAAAGGGGGGATGGAAATAATGATCAAAAGGAGGAAATGTGGGAAAAGAGAAAATTCTCATAAAAAAAAACAATCTAAACTTTATGGAGCTACTGAGGACAGATGACTCCCAGAAACTATTGCCCTGAGAAGATCTTCAAATCTTACATTTTACCCCCTGAAGTTGTCTTTAAACCAAGCAGTAGTTCAGCTCACTTATTAAAGAGTGTTTGTCTTGAGTAATATGCTCTTTGAAAGAATTATCTCTATGTGATCAGACTGACAAGAGCAGTGCGAAAAGGTTTGATGAGAAGCTTAGGGGACAGTGAGTTTACGCTCATGAAAGTAATAGGTAAAACAACCCTGATAAAGGTGGCACCACCTGATGCCTGTAACCGATGTCACTGAGGTATGTCTTGGTTGGGAGGAGCCTTCGAGCTGACTGTGACTCAAAGCGACTCTTGGAACAGCAGATGGAAACTGCTCTGTCCGGCACCAGCCTCACAGAATCTGCCATGTTCAAGCCTATCTTTGCAGTTACTGTGTCAATCCATCTCATTAGGGTTTTCCTCTTTTCCACTGACCCTGACACACAGTTTTTCTGATGTTAATTCATTCAGTATTCCTTTTTTCCTGTTTAGATTACTTCTTCTTGGTCTATATACAGGTTTCGAATGAGCATCATTAACTGTTCTGGAAGTTTCATTCTTTACAACGTTATCCACAAATTATGACAACCAATACAGTCATGAGACATACACGATGAACTGTTGCAGAGTCGATACAAGTTAGTATCTTTTTGGTATTCTTTCATCCTGGTCCAAACCCGGATGGGAATATTTACACTCTGGACACTGGTGGTTGTGACGTGATGTCGACTTAGAAATAATTCACAGCTGATACTCCAGTGGGTTTTCTGAGGCGGTAAATGGCACGGGGGAGACCGCCCATCTTTCTCTCATAGAGCAACTGTGAGATTTTAACTGCATGTCTTTGGGCTGGTACCACACAGCTTCCTATGGAAATTGGTAAACACTATAAATTGGAATTTGTTTGTTTTGTTGTTGTTTGTTTCCCCATAGAGCCTTCTTAATTTTTTTTTTGCATTTATCATCAAACTACTACAACGCTTTCTCTTGGTTTTAGATTTCATGCCTCCCTTATTTCCAGTGAGCTGGGGCATCTTCCACGTGTTTATGAATCACTCCTATCTCTTCTAGAACTGTGTCTGTGGGTCTTTTGCCAGTGTCTTTTTTTTGGTTTATTTCTTTTTCTTGCTCTATTTGTAGGACTTCTTTATATATTCTGGATACTTATCTTGTCTGTTGCATAAGCTATTATAAGCTAATTGCTTGTTTTTAATTTCCATTTACAGCACATCTTCTTCCAAAAGTTTTTTAACATTTGATGTTTTCAAATTTGTCAAGTTTTTTCCCCCCTTGTTGGCTTTTTATGCCTATAACTAACTTAAGAAAGCCAAGATCATAAATATATTATTCTGCATTTTTTCTAATATAATCTTAGGGGTTTTTATATTAATCTACTTGGGAATTTATCTTGGTAAATGGTGCAAAGTAACAATCTTGATTTTTTTTTTTTGGTAGCAAAATGAGTAGTTAACTGCTTTGAACAAATATAAGGTCATCCATTCTTTTTCCACTTTGAAATGACATCTTTATAAAATAGTCCATCTGAAATGCCATCTTTATGTAATATTCCAAGCCCCATATATCCATGTGTCTAGTTCCTTCTGTCCTACTGACTTCTGTATCTTTCTTCAATACCACACTGCTTTAACCATTAGAACTTTAAAACAGAGGTCTTTTTATTTAGAAGAGAAAGTTTCATTTCTTTCTTTCTTTCTTTCTTTCTCCCAGTGTTCATTCCTTCTGGGATTGCTACCCTCCCCAGAAGCCCTGTCTAATCAGAAGGACCTGCCCCCCTTCCTTAGCCTAGGCCAGTCCTTGTTCTAAGGACTAGACCTTGTCCTCCAAACCCTCTGCTGTTGCAATTCCTCCCACCTCTTCCTCTCCATGTGAATCTGCTTGCTGTCTGAGTTATCTGACCTTTCTGTGCCTTGTTTCCTCACAACACAGTGTAGTTGTTGTTGTTGCTTAGTGACGTTACATCACAGTGACCCTATGAATAACAGACATGAACCTTCTTTGTCCTGCACCGTGCTCATGATTTCTGGTTGTAGTTGCTGTGTACCGTAGAGTCGGAACCGATCCATAGCTGACCCTCTAGTGGGTTTTTAGAGGCAGTGAATTGCATGGGAGGAGATTCTCCACCTTTCTCCCGAGAAGCAGCTGGTGGCCTCGAACTGCATGCCTTTGGGATTGCAGCGCACCTTCTTGCCACTAGGCCACCAGATCTCTGGCATGGATGGTTAAAGTTGGGAAACTCCAGTGCGTGTTCTCTAGTGAAGGATCACCTTTGTGATAACCACCTTTCTTCATATGAGGACAGTAAGGACTTAACAATACCTCATATACAGAAATTTCCAGCTGGACCCTGAGGTGGGACCCAACCTACTGGCAGAAAAATTACTTTGCTGAAGTCTTTGTATAGAAATGCACAGATTCCTGTCTTGAATCTCCTTTATCCCCAAATTTGAAGGACTTTGCTTGAAAAAGATTCAATAAACAAAAATTACAACTCACTCAAAGACAGGCTGAGGAGTGTCTCTGATTGCATTTTAAAGATTCTACTTCAGAACTCTGGTCCCCGTCCAACCTCCTGGGAATATGTTGGTTCTATAAAGGCAGATTCTCCCATAAGCATCTGTCCTGTGATGCCTCAGCAGAAGGAATGGCTTCCAACTCATATGAATAATAACAAAAAGTGACTTTCTGCTGAGTTATTGCAACTTCTAAATTAGCGATGGTGAAATGAATGAAGCTTTCCTACTGCCGCTACTGCATCTCGGCTTGGACCCACCCCAAGGGACTCATGACTATAAATCTCTCTGGTCTTGTGATTTCCATATTTCCCCCAT